GAACTGCTGTACGGCCAAGCGGACGTGACGGTACAGCAGAGGATGCTATTATGTACATCATAAAATTGACTGAAGGCGACAGGATGCTATTATGTACATCATGAAATTGACTGAGGGCGACAGGATTCATTATGTACATCATGAAATTGACTGAAGGCGATAGGATGCTATTATGTACATCATGAAATTGACTGAAGGCGATAGGATGCTATTATGTACATCATGAAATTGACTGAAGGCGACAGGATTCTATTATGTACATCATGAAATTGACTGAAGACGACAGGATGCTCTTATGCACATCATGAAATTGACTGAAGGCGACAGGATGCTATTATGTACATCAAGAAATTGACTGAAGGTGACAGGATGCTATTATGTACATCAAGAAATTGACTGAAGGTGACAGGATGCTATTATGTACATCAAGAAATTGACTGAAGGTGACAGGATTCTATTATGTACATCATAAAATTGACTGAAGACGACAGGATGCTATTATGTACATCATTAAATTGACTGAAGGCGACAGGATGCTATTATGTACAGCATGAAATTGACTGAAGGCGACAGGATGCTATTATGTACATCATGAAATTGATTGAAGGCGACAGGATACTATTATGTACATCATTTCGTAAATGAAAAAACAAGGTTTATGAGCCCATGACAAAATTAAAATACTGATAGAATTCCTCAATTACAACTCACATACTAAGCTCATCAAAAGTAGACATTGTTTCCGACTTTTCTTCAAACGGAAACTTGCGAGAATCGTTTCGCGATCAGTTGACGCCTAAACTAAAAGCTTTAATAAAGTAATTGTCGTGTGATTGGTCAACTTGCTTGATCTAAAATACAATCAAAGTTCACGGAAATTCTCAGATCATTATATTCCATTGCTTCATATGGAAATAAAACGATACAATATACACACACACACAAAATTTTTGGAAATAATTGTTTTGTCAAAACAATACACTTTGTCTTCTGTAATAAACAAACAGTAATATTTGATCGTGTGAATATTCTACAGACAACAAATAGTAATATTGGATCGTATGAATATTCTACAAATAACAAACAGTAATATTTGATCGTGTGAATATTCTACAAATAACAAACAGTAATATTTGATCGTGTGAATATTCTACAAATAACAAACAGTAATATTTGATCGTGTGAATATTCTACAAATAACAAACAGTAATATTTGATCGTGTGAATATTCTACAAATAACAAACAGTAATATTTGATCGTGTGAATATTCTACAAACAACAAATAGTAATACTGGATCGTGTGAACAGTCTACGAACAGTAATACTTGATCGTGTGAATATTCTACGAACAGTAATACTGGATCATGTGAATATTCTACGAACAGTAATACTGGATCATGTGAATATTCTACAGACAACAAACATGGAAACCATTTAAATGCCCTACAATTACAATGAAACTATATATATATATATATATATATGACCCAGGTATATTTTCCACTGTTACACACTAGTCTTAACAGCTGCGTTAAACAGTTTAGAGGGAAGTCAACTAGTAAACGCCACCCACCGCAAACTCTTGTTAGACCAAATAGTGGGATCTGATCATAACGTTTATAACACATCTGCCCAAATGTGCAGGACGATATTTTGTTTTTATGTAACTGTACGTGATAACAGTTCGCCATGGTTGGTTGTCATATGAAAGTGTTAGAAATAACCCGTTTATGTGGAATACATGTGCCTTACTAAAATATACATAAAAAAATTATCAGTCAGTATTAATAGGTATTTTATATGACAAAAGAAAGCTGGAATGTTTTGAAGCAGGTATTATGCAAACACACCAGATATACATATACACGTACATGCAAGTAAAACAGACGATAATATCAGTTCTAGTGGATAAGATAACAAAAAACACCCTTTTATTAATCAGGTACATGTATGTTATTTACATACTATATATTTCTGGATAACTATTCAAATAAGTATCTTGACTTTTCGTTCTGGACTTTAATATTTAGTGCTGTGCGTTCCAACCAATGAACAAAACACGAACGTTATGTCTGATACTTCTTGCTGAAACACACACTTTCGGTTACATGCTGGCTTAGATGTTGCTTCAAAAAGTTTACCTTATATAACACACGATCCCCATTCTTACTGTAGGTAATGCATGATCCAAAACTTCGGGATAAAACGATATACAACTGTTTAAAATACGTAATGACAACCAAATGACAGTAACTAATGGTCCCTTTCTATTGCTGTTAGCAATGAAAGTATTTATTATACAACTGTTTAAAATACGTAATGACAACCAAATGACAGTAACTAATGGTCCCTTTCTACTGCTGTTAGCAATGACAATATTTATTATACAACTGTTTAAAATACGTAATGCATGTTTAATTGGATTAATATAATACTCATAGACGTCGGAGAGAAGGGGCCAACGGTCCTTTGCCTACCCACTTTTTAAAATGAGGGAGCATTGCCCCCCTAATTTTAACGGGAAAAAGGAGTTTTTTAACGAAACTTTTAACAATCTATGTTTGAAAATTGTTGTTACTTTGTGCATTTTCGTCTTAATATCGTTTACTGACAAGTTGTCTCTGCGAGGGCGGGAAATTTATATATTTCCACAATCTGAAAAAAAATTCCAACACGAGGCTAAAAATTGACAATTAGGGTTGAGGTTTCGATTTTATTTTAATGATTTCATTCAAAACAAATGTTAATAAAGCTTATATCAAAAGGAAATTTAAAATCTCAGTTATAATTTTATTTTGGAGAAAAAAGTATGGGGACACACATAATTAATTCAAAAGTTGAAGTCAATATGTCGCACTTTTTTTTGTGTGTGTGTGAGACTCGGTTCTGTCGTTGCTGGTTACTGTGATTTAAACACAAACTACAAAGTGCTCCACAAGAAAGGAGCTATTGGTCAGTTTCAACAATAAATGAAAGAGAGCGAGAGTCGAATTTTTTCAGTTGTGCGATTTTGGTGTTAATTTTGTAGTCATGGCGATATCCCTTTTGCCGCAAGGGTTATAGCAATTCGTGGTTAACAGGGAGTATTTTTTTAATTATTTATCCCACTCTGTACTCCGAGCTGCTTAGCTCGTAAACACGCACACACACACACACAACAAAAAAACACACGATAAGCCATGCTGAGGAAATAACCGGATCTTGGGCGAGGTCTCTCGATCTTAACGAGTCAAAATTGTATGTTTACCATTGTACAATAAATATATAGTTATTCAGTTGTCTTGACCAGTCACTGACCAGAACGAACAAAATCTTTTGAAAACGCTTTATGACAATACCAGTGTAAAAACAGAGCCATGATACGTTTATCGAAACAGATTACAATTACAATTAACATAAAACTTCCGAATTTATTATCCCAAATGAAACTTGTACTTACCATAAAGCTTGATTTTCTTATCCGTAGTTTCGACAATAATTATTACATATCCGCCAAGGTCAACCATTTTGGTAACTATTGTTTAAACATCAATAAATTGTTCCAGTAGGCCGTCTCATTAGCAGGCTACTTCTACATCTCCACAGTAGTGGACTACGATAACATTTTGTTACGCAGATCTCACAGAAAGTTGTTCATTCCGGACAAAAGTCAATAAAACATCCATCTTTCAACAATTACAGAGCAATCCAGTACTAGTTAGAAATTTCGTTTCTATTTGACATTATTTGTGAGTCTTTAAAAGGGGGCGACAAACTACTTAATTCATTGTTGCTGAAGGATTGACAACTCCAAGAAACAGCAAGGTTTACCCTAGATTCAACGCAGTAACAGTACGATAAACGTGAAGGTTTTTTACGACACATGCTGTGTATATTCAGAACGATAAATTAATTTCGATGATCTCCTTACCATTTTTGGAAGGCAATAAACTACCTTCAAACCTCCACTGTATCCATGACTGTGTAAGGAACTTAACATTCAAACTCTGATATATTTCCTATTAAATACATTCACAAATGGCTAGGCTACTATTGTGATTTGTGAAAATGCACGTACAAGCCTGCGGGCGGATGCTTTGAACAGGAGCAACCAATCGTTATGGCTATGTGCACCGACACCAATCTCATCAGCACGGAGGCAAGCTAAGACTCGAGATGGCTGCCTAGCTCTCCGTTTGGCAGGAGAACAAGAGACCTGGAGCGAACATCGATCAATTCGGAGCGTCCAAACGGACGATTTTAGGGGTGGGCGCGTAGAAAGACGTGGACCGAGTCTCATCCGTTCGAGATCCTATCAAGTACGGTGCTGTAACACGTAAACAATACTTCTGGTGAACTGAAATCTTCAAATACAAGTAAAGTAGTCAAGGTCGGAGACTGTATTCTACGTTACTTCTTCTTCGTAATCTGTCTCGGTCGCTGATATTGGGCGGGAAAAAGAGCGTGCCTCCTAGTTTTAGTGCAGGCATAAGATTCTTCCATGCTCGACTGAACACGCAACCTGCTTCTAGGTGGGTCGTAACCTGTCTCGGGTGGCCCACCAAACAGGTTCCTTCGTTGTTTTTGTTTTCACTTGGACAAACGTGATTGCTAATGGTTAGGTGTCTTCCTTATAATTCACAAGATCATTCTAGGAATACAATGAGGGACAAAAAACAATTAGTGTTTTCTTTAAAATGGAGATGGTATATTAGAAATATATTTTTTGAATACAGGAAATGCCACTTTCATTGTGAAGATTATGGTAAAACTTTGGGATACAGCCTTCTACGATGATGGTCATACCAACTTTAACAGGGTTTGAACAGCCTTCTACGATGATAGTTATACCAACTTTAACAGGTTGAACAGCCTTCTACGATGATAGTTATACCAACTTTAACAGGGTTTGAACAGCCTTCTACGATGATGGTCATACCAACTTTAACAGGGTTTGAACAGCCTTCTACGATGATGGTCATACCAACTTTAACAGGGTTTGAACAGCCTTCTACGATGATGGTCATACCAACTTTAACAGGGTTTGAACAGCCTTCTACGATGATGGTTATACCAACTTTAACAGGGTTTGAACATCCTGCTATGATGTAGGTTATACCAACTTTAACAGGGTTTGAACAGCCTTCTACGATGATGGTCATACCAACTTTAACAGGATTTGAACATCCTGCTATGATGACAGTTATACTATATTTATTGGGGATTGTTCGGGTTTGAACATACTGCTATAATGTAGGTTATGCTATATTTATTGGGGATTGTTCAGGTTTGTACATCCTATTATGATGAAAGTATAAGAGCTACTAATTTAAGTTGTAACACTCGTGAACATGCTAACATCACAAACAACGATGACTAGTTTTGTCTAAATCTGAGAATACGAACGTATAAAACTTTTTCAAACTTGTTATTCTTCGTACAAACAAACTAACCAAAAACTGTTGACGAGCATTGTGAAACATCCACATTACCGCTATTGAATAATGTACTGTTCACCGGTATGGTGAAAACAACCGCCAACAAAAGGCTAAATAAACTCCAGGTTTTTACCAGTGATTAAATTGGGATTTTGAAAGTGGTGGAACTCCATTTTGTGATCCACTTTGACATTCCAATCAGAAGACCAGGAACAGTAGTGGCTTAAATCCTCAAGAGGTGGTCATCCGTTTCGGCCCGTTCCACCCCAAATTAACCCTTTGATTTTTTTCACAGTTTCATAAATTTTGTCTCGAAGTGGACATGAATATCTGACACAACTACGTCACGCAAAGCGCTTTGTACTCAATTTTGAGTACCGAATGAGACTTGGAACAGTTGCCATGGCGACCAATAGTATATAAACTGCATATGTGTCTTCTAAACACATACAAGAGGATTTTACAATTTTTCCTTTGAAAGCTAGCACACCAAACAGTGTTCTAGTCTCAACAGGGAATTGGTAAAATAAAGTATTGATAACTCATTCAAAATCAATGTAAAGTGTTAAACAATAACATCTGGTATTGGAAAACAACGGACAATTAAACGGTAATATCTGGTATTATAAAACAACGGGTAATTAAACGGTAATATCTGGTTTTATAAAACAACGGGTAATTAAACAATAATATCTGGTATTATAAACCAGTCAGCTGTGACCTTATAATTATTGATACATTTGTCATCACTTTATAAAAATAATTTATCAGTTCTACTCTGTGAGTCCCCTGGTCACTTAGCGGTAATTTGAGAGCTTATAACACTAAAAATCGGGTTTTGATGCCCGCGTTTGGCGCAGCACAGATAACTCATTATATAACTTTGCGCAGAGCTTTTCCAAAAGATTTTTTTCAACTGATATTTCAACTTCATCATTTGTCAATACATGAAGTCTTATTGTCTCTCATATATTTAGGCCTAGTAACAAATGATCCACAAAATGAAGAATATTCCAGTAAATACAGTTATTTATTAACTCTGGAATGGAATTTTATAATCTTAAATATGTTTTTTTTTAATAGTTATCCACTTGAACTTACTTATATAGGTTATTTTCAACTGTACAAATATTTTTACAGGTGCTCAATTTGCGAACAACTGGCTTTGCGCTTAACAACAAACAAACAAAACCTTCAATCGAATATCGAAGTAAGAGAACATTTCACTAATGTTTCACATAAAGACAGGAGACGTCAATACTTCGATTAAAAATTTTAAAGCTTTTCCATTCTTTAAAAAAAATAAGCTGCGTAATAAATTCACTTTCTTGCACGGTGTTATCATTATGATTACAAATCGTATAACGGTTTGCCTTTTCTGTGGTTTCGCATTCTGAATTCTTTGTTATAAAAATTTGAATCTGACTGCAATAAGTGTTATAATTCCTTCTAGATTTCCTTATTAATTGAGAAATAACACGAAGAACGGTTGATTCGCAATGGATCTTTGCAGGTAAAATAATCAGCAGGCATAGAAGTTGGATTGCACAGACTCAGTATCTGTGAATTCCAAAAACTGTCAGTTACGACTGAAATCAAAATATAGACCACGCCAACGCTGTAAAACGCACTTTTTGTTAACGTGAGTTTTCCGAGCCCAAATTTATAAAATGTCCATTAGTTAGAACTACAGTTACTGGTTTTTTTTAAGTGTTGAAGTTACTGTTCATAACGATAAATTCGGTAGTTAATAAATCTTGTTTGAAATATATACGAAAATGTCCTTATGTCTATATTTTGATCATCCTGATCCAATTAGCAAAAACGTAACATTAACTGATCATTCAATACATTTTCAGCATTATGGACCTGACTTCTTGTGTGTTGATTTATGACGGTAAGGGTTTATGGACCTGACTTCTTGTGTGTTGATTTATGACGGTAAGAGTTTATGGACCTGACTTCTTGTGTGTTGATTTATGACAGTAAGGGTTTATAAACCTGACTTCTTGTGTGTTGATTTATGACAGTAAGGGTTTATAGACCCGACTTCTTGTGTGTTGATTTATGACAGTAAGGGTTTATAGACCCGACTTCTTGTGTGTTGATTTATGACAGTAAGGGTTTATAGACCCGACTTCTTGTGTGTTGATTGATGACAGTAAGGGTTTATAAACCTGACTTTTTGGGTGTTGATTGATGACAATAATGGGTTATAGACCCGACTTCTTGTGCGTCGATTGATGACAATAATAGGTTATAGATCTGTCTTCTTGTGTGTTGATTGATGACAATAATGGGTTATACACCTGACTTCTTGTGTGTTGATTGACGACATCTGACTTCTTGTGTGTTGATTGATGACAATAATGGGTTATACATCTGACTTCTAGTGTGTTGATTGATGACAATAATGGGTTATACATCTGACTTCTAGTGTGTTGATTGATGACAATAATGGGTTATACACCTGACTTCTTGTGTGTTGATTGACGACAATAATGGGTTATACACCTGACTTCTTGTGTGTTGATTGACGACAATAATGGGTTATACACCTGACTTCTAGTGTGTTGATTGATGGCATTAATGGGTTATACACCTGACTTCTAGTGTGTTGATGGATGACAATAATGGGTTATACACCTGACTTCTAGTGTGTTGATTGATGACAATAATGGGTTATACACCTGACTTCTAGTGTGTTGATTGACGACAATAATGGGTTATACACCTGACTTCTAACGTTTTTGGTTTTCAGTTTAAAGTTAAAAGAAGAAACGCCATTCCATTGGGCTACGATCAATGGCAGATCCAGAGTTAGTGTTGGGGTGGGCAAACTTCTCGAGAGATGTCGCCAACGCGAGTGCGAGCATCTATGGCGTGGGGTCCAGGGAAGACGCTCTCGGAAGCTCTGCGCTTTTGTGTCATCATCTCGTATACTTTTAAGAGTGGGGGCTCGAAAATTACTTCAAATTGTAAGAAGTCATACTAACAAACCTCCTGTTTGTGGGCTAAAATCATCATGACATTTTTTTTTTTTACTTTAGTGTGGGGGCCATGTCCCCCTTGGATCCGCCAGTGGCTACGATGAGGCTCTGTTCACGGGATGATAACATTTTATCCTCTTGAATTGGTAACAAAGATAGTTGTGTGTCAAAATTAAAGTAGATTATTACATATAAAGAAATCAATATCAGGAAATTGAGAAAATCGCTTAAGGATACGAGTTCTTTATGGAGCGCCTTCTACGGGAAATTCGAAGTTGTCGTTCAGTGTAAAAACAGCTTTTCAAAATATTAATTTTTCTGGCATCCTAGTCTCGGCCCTCCATTATTTAACGATTAACATAGTACAAAAAAAATGTCCATGAATAGGCGTTGCTGCATTCCAGCAACTTCTGAGCACACGTTGTTCTTCGTTAAATCGGAATTTTACGCCTGAAAGGTTTTAAAAGCGACATCTACCTGCGGCTGAGTGTTGTTATTTTTCGTTGTGATCCTGCAGAAGCTTTGCTTTTGTTTTGTTTGTAGTTAAACACAAAGCTACACAATGGGCTATCTGTGCTATGCCCTGCACAGGCACCAAAGTCCGTTTTTTAGCGTTTTAAGATTTCAAATTCACCACTGTGCCATTGAAGGGGGGGGTATCTGCTGAAGCTATAATTCCGTAAACCAAGTCTATAATGGAATTCTAAATGTAAAATACGGGAACATTATTCACGTATA